TTAGTGCCATCAGAACCATGAAGTGGAACAGGAAGAAAAGCAAGAAAAGGAATACTCATCTCTACTTGGGAGTGAAACTTCATTATGCAAGAATCACTGCAGTCATGCCGTGACAGAAAGACTTGCCAAGTTAGTTTTTCTCGTACCTGAGTGCTTCTGCGCTCAAGTCCTCTGCACACACTCGAGTCCTCGTGGTGCCAGTTGGGAGTTTGGCAGTGGCACAGCCACAGCTTCGTGGCCTCTAGATGAGATCCCTTTGTTTTTAGGATATAGGGCAGCAGATGTGGAAATAGACTTCTTTGAGCCCCGAACAAGAGCACTGTGAGGCTCACGGTGTCAGTGCTGAGCCTCCATGTGTTCTGGAATAAGATTTGTTGTGAGAGTGTGCACCTGTGACCTGCAGGGCTCCCTCGGGGGGTCTCTAAGGGAGTGCTGCTGGTCACGGCACCCCATCTTTAGGCCTTGGCTGATCATCCATCTGGTTTTTCACTGTTACACTTTCAATAGATACCTGTTATTTGAATTTGATTTTGAGATTAAATAGAATGGCAGAGATAAATATCATTTGGCTAAGACAAATCTTTTTTTTTTTTTTCCTTTTGTGGTATGGCAAGAAGATCAAGATTTCTAGAACATAGAAGAACAGAGTAAAAGCTGACTGGTTTTGGTATCTTTTAAGCTATTTTTTTCTCAGTTATTCATCAACTCAGCTTGTCTTAATAAACTCTTTTATGTAAAAGCTGTTCTAGGCCCAATGTGAGTGAGAGGCTTGGCTTGCAACCCAGCCTGAAAATGCAGTTGATGGCTTATGTTGGCAGTTTAAATGTTATCTCTTCATTTTCTGCTATTCAGTGGTAAGTAACCCTGGCAGAATTACTTGTTGCCAGAAATGCTGATCTGAGAGTCTTTGTTTGGTTAGCCCTTAGGATGGAGATAGAAATCTACCTGTTAGGTTGAAACTGATTTGTGCAGGCTGATGCTTCCCTGGGATATCAGGGCTTGTTTGAACAGAGCAGTCTTAGGAGGAGGTGCTCCAGGTGTCTCCAGAGTTGTGCTGTGGTTGTTCACAGACATTGGCTGCTCTTGGTGGGTGGTATGTAGTGGTTGAAACTCGGCCTCCAGACTGCCTGGCTTCCCTTCCTCCTGTGTATCTTTGTGGCCTTGGGCAAGTTGTTTAACCATTCTTTGCCTCAGTTTCCTCCTCTGTAATGATAATAAGAGTACTTCAATCAGGGTTGTTGAAGGATTAAAATAGTAATGCATACAAAGCACTTAAGCAGTGCCTGGCACATAGGAAGCACCTAATAAATGTTACTTAGCACAAAACTCTGTAGGAAATGTATACAAAGTTCTGTGCTGGGCTACAGAAGGTGCTCTGGTTTGAGATTAACCAGAAATGTTACCTTGGAGTTTTCCTAGACTGAATTACTTGTACTCAAATAAACCCCTTTAAATGGAGTACACCAAGCATATCAAACTCGTGGTCCGTGGGCCACATGTGGCCCACAACAAATATTTTTGTGGCCCAGCCAATATAACAATATGTAAAAAGCATTTTAATAAAAATTTCATAACTTAATTTTTACGATATCCTACTATACATAATCTATCCTATCTAATAATAGACAAACAGGGTAATTGACCGTACCTTCGCTACGCCTCCCATTGGCTAATCAGAGTGATATGCAAATTAACCGCCAACAAAGATGGTGGTTAATTTGCATACGTAGGCTCCAAGCGGTGTGAAGACTAAAGGTGAGCCGGAGCAGCGAAGATGGAAGACAGAAGGCGGCTCCGGCTGGGGCCACGAAGACGGAGGACAGAAGGCGGCTCCTGCCAGAGCGAAGGCCTGGGTCCTGGGTGCTGGAGGAAAACCGGTGCCCGCAGCCAGGAGAAGGGAAGGCCTATTGCACGAATCTCTTCGTGCAACAGGCCTCTAGTATGTATATAAAAGGCTAATATGCTAAGTGTCCTACTGTCTGACTCGTCACTATGACATGCACTGACCACCAGGGGGCAGACACTCAAAACACAGGAGCTGCTGTGACGTGCACTGGCCTTTTACAGAGAAATGGCGCCGTGGACCTGGTGCCCACAAAGCAACACTCGGCTTTCCCCAAATGGGACACAGGCCCTGCCACAACCCTGGAGCCACAGCCCACCAAATTGCAGCCGCTGCCGAGACCCCATGGTGCAAAATGCGACCCACAGCCAAGCCCAGCCTGGAAACAGTGGCTGTGGATGCTGGGTAATGACGTCACATAGCAATTTTGCAGCTTCCTCTCCCTAGCAACTAGCCTCCTTGGAGTTTCTTCAGCCTAGGAACACGACTTGCTTTATAACCAGGTGGAAATATTTACACTTTAACCAAATGTCTGTGAAGCATTTTCCCATGCCTCATCTCATTTGATCCTCACAGAAATCCTGGAATAGGTAGATAGGAGACTTGGTGGAATTCTATTTTCTTTTCATTAGCTGGAAAACGGAGATTTAGAAAGTTTAGAAACTTGACCCGACTGAAAAGAAGTAAGAAATGGTGGACCTTGAAAATGACTTCAGGTTTTCTCACTGCGCAGAATATAGGCAAACACTGCTGCAGTTAAATATTTTACCCTTTGTTCTCCCTGCGTGATCTACAATAATAATCTGCTTCATGTTGATATTTACTGCTGTGTTGCTGACAATTACCTGAAAGAGAAGTTGGGGTGCTTCACTGGGTTGGAAAAAGTTTAGCTACATCAGAAAGCAGGTCTAATCAAGCAGGTTTAGTCTATATCTATAAAAGGCTAAGTTGACGTGTGCGATACATATTAAGCTCTCGCTGGTGCCAATCGCACGTGTGTGTTTTGATCTGTCACTGTTGATCGTGAATTTGGTTGACACTTTTATTATGGAAAAGGGGAGAATAGTGATATTAAAATATTTCTTCTAATTAATTTCCTTTCAATGTGCACAAATCCGTGCACCAGGCCACTAGTTATTAATAACAAACTACAACGTTCACTAATGACTGATTACTATAATCGTATTGCATTCATTTCCCTTACGCACAGGCGCACCATTTCTCTCCACTAATCCTAGCAGCAAATATTTTAGCAGCCGATTGCCACATCATTAGTCTTGTACTGACTTGTTTGGTGTGTGCATCAGGAAATATTTCGCTTTCGGAGAATAAGAAAAATAGTTTTATTTGTGTTACAATTATTAATTTGTGCAGTTATTCAGTGTCTGGTAAGTTAATGTTCAAGAAAAAAATATTTTTATTAAAATGTTATATTATTTTATGTTAATTATTTATTTCAGCCCTTTGTATTCAGCATGTCTCTATCGAAATAAACCTACATTTCTATGAAAATCGAAGCTTTTGTGTGTTTTTTTGCTGCCCACATGAACTTAAACCTTGTTTATTTGGCCCGTGTTAGCCTTTGAGTTTGACATGCTTGGAGTACACAGTTCTTTCTCTCCTCTTGAAGGGGATGGGGATAGTATAAGCTTTCCAGAATGACCTTTAATACTCTAAGCTCTGTGAGGTATTAATATTCCTTTTTACTTTTTAAATAGCACATGCTGCTATTAAGTATTAAATGGCAACATAAAGCTTTATGATTTAAATTACTTTTAAATTCTTCAAGATCTCACAAAAGGACTTTTTTGAAATACATGTCTTTCTCCACTTAGGCTGGCTTGATGTTTACCTTCTTTGGCAGAAATGATACATGTTTGGGTTGGGGGTTCCATCCCCAGTTGGGGGCGGGAAAGAGGCAGCCGATTCATCAATAATTCTCTATCATCACTGATGTTTCCATCCCTCTCTCCCTCACCTTTCTTTTCTCTGAAATAAATTTAAAAAATATTATATATATATATATATGCCATGGTGCTTGCCTGTGGGTACTCATGGTGGATGTTTTTTAATGAAGGACTCTTGGGTATATCTTCTTATTCCTGTTTACACCTTGAATGTTTAGTTTGGATCCCACTAAAGTTGCAAAGCCTTGGCAAGTTGCTTATTTAACATCTTTAATCTTTCCCCCCATATTTAAGATGAGAGGATAATATACCTTGCAGGGCTGCCTAAAGATCTAAGACAGTTCTGTGCAGGTCCTTCCCATGGATTAGAAGGCATTCCAGAGAGATTAGTTCTCTCCTGCATCTGTCCCCACCCCACTCTCATCAGTGATTAATGTTTTCCCTGGCAGAGCAAACAATTTTCTGCAATTGTTGGATATTGAGTTCTATATATGTTAATAGGTTAAGATGATTCATAGTGTCATCCAGACTTTTGTATATTTTATTGATTTTTTTGGGGGTGGGGAGCGTGTCTTCTGGTTCTATTAATTACTGAGAGAGATGTGCTAAAATATACAACTACAATTGTGGATTTGTCTAGTTCTCCCTGTAGTTCTCTGTTTTATTTTGTGTGTTTGTTTTTTGTTGCTGTTGAAATCTTCCATATAGATTCATTTCTTGTTTTATCAGCATTATTGAGGTATAATTGACGTAATAAACTGTTTAGCATTTTTAAGGTATGTATGTAATTTGGTGAGTTTTGTCATATGTATATACTAGTAAGCCAGTGAAACCACTACTACAGTGAAGATAATGAACATACCATTACCCTTAAAAGTTTCTTTGTGCCAGTTGATAATTCCTTCCTCCAGCTTCCTCCTCCCTTCTCCCTCCCCACTGCTCCCAACCAGGTAAACACTGATATACTTCTGGCACTATAAATTAATTTGTATTTTTTAGAATTTTACATAAATGGAATCATACTTTATAGACTCCTTTGTGGTCTGACTTCTTGCACTTAGCATGATTATTTTGGTTTTCATCCATGTTGCTGTATTTATCAATAGTTCATTCTTATTTATTGCTGAGTAGTATTCTATTATACGAATACAGCATAATTTGTTTATCCAGTCACTTATTTCTGGACATTTGGATTCTTTCCAGTTTTTGACTGTTATTTTCCTAATATGTATTATAACTTGTGGAATAAGTGCAAATGTAATTTACCATGTCGTAATATCCCTTTTATTTTTTTCTCTCTTTACAGCATGGGTAAGTTCTCTCTCCATGGGGATGATTTTCTTTTGCTGCCCAATAGTCAGCATCTTCACAGACATATTTGGTTGTCGGAAAACAGCTGTTGTGGGTGCTGCTATTGGATTCATTGGACTCATGTCCAGTTCTTTTGTAAGGTAAGGACTTGGTTTCTTCATGTTGCTTTTCGAGAACTGTTAGGTACCTTAAAATTTTCCTTTCCGAAATTTTGCTATTTACAAGAAAACATCTTCCTTTTTGTTGCTTAAACTGTAAGCAATATGACTTTCTCATTGTTATCCATAGCAGCAAATCAGAGCTTGAGAAATTGAGTGTTTTTGCTTATAGTGCCTAACAGTTAGACATTGTTCAGGATTTATCGGTATATGTTCCCTGGAGCAAGAAAAATGTTTCTCCTTTAGTTTTTTTCTAATCACATAACAATCCTAAAAGAACTCATACAATGAGTTGTCTAAAGCAATAGCATTAGTTGAAGGTCAGCTCAGTCTGAGGCCCGAAGGGTATAATAAGTGGTGTGTTGAAGCAGTTGTTCATAGGCTTGATATGAGATATTTTTATTAATGAAAAAAACTTTGTTATTTATTTCAACCCAGGTAGAGAATTCCTGTGTGCATTTTTTTTTAAAAAAGAACACACTAAAATTTAAAAAGATTATGGCAAAATGAAGTGGTCAAATGCAGCTTAAAAGAAAAAAAAATATCAGTACATTTTGCCTGTGTCTGTTAAAGATATAGTTCATACAAATGAAGAGGAACTAACTGCAAAGAGCTAATGGGCATATTACTGTATGAAGCACTTCTCCCTCCAGTCCCAACTCTATTAGTATATCCCTTTGCATTGTCAGAATAATGCCTGGTTAAAGAAACACTGGCTTAATATATTGCTCTAGCTAACAGGTAATTAACAAGAAAACCTCATAAAATGATTTCCATCTTATGTCTACTTTAGTGGTTTAATCCTAATTTTTTGCCTCTTTCCCTTACCTAGCTATCTTCATGCACTAGTTGAAAAGCATTATTGAATCATTAGAAAAAAAACACACACTTACATTTGTTGCCCTGATGGTTTTTAAATATTCTGGATTTAATCAACAGAATCCTTGGTTTACTAATTTTACCCCCCACCCACCCTACCTATACCCCTTCCTCATCTCTAAAATGAGCCTCTTTCTTTCACCTAACTTAGAAAAAAAATTTTTTTGAGAGAATGGGAGGGGGAGAGATAGATAACGAAATATTGATGTGAGAGAGACACGTCAATTGGTTGCCTCCTATATGCTCCCCGACCAGGTCTGGGGATCAAGCTTCTAACTGAGGTATGTGGCCTTGACCAGAATCAAACCCAGGACCCTTCAGACCTCAGGCTGACACTATTCACTAAGCCAAACCAGCTAGGGCTAGAAATTTTATTTGGATTCTAAACAATTATTTTTATGTCTTGATAGAAAATATATATGCCATCTTTATAGTGCCTTTATGATTTTTTCCCTTCTAAAGTTGTCTTTTAAAGAAACAAAATTTTGTTTGAAATAAGATTCTGCTTAGGTAATTACTTTCACTTTTTTTGTTTTTAAAGGAAGTTCTAACTTTTTTTTTTTTTTAGAGGGAGAAAGGGAGAGAGGGAGAGAGAGAAACATAGATGTGAGAGAGATACATCGATCTGTTGCCTCCCTAACTAGGGCTCAAACCCACAAGCTAGGTATGTGCCCTCACTGGGAATTGAACCCATGACCTTCCGGTGCATGGGATGACATTCCAACCAACTGAGCCACACCAGCCAGGGATAATTTGAGTTCTTGTTTTTTAGCAATAATACAATATTGTGCTATTACCAACTTGTCAGATACCTGTTTTGATCTGGAAGCTTCCAGGTACCCATTGCCAGTACGTGTGGGTAAAGCACTTGAATATATTAACAATCAGGCTTTGGTGGAGAGATGACCAGCCGGTAGAAAACCCATGTAACTTATTACCTTATTTGGTAGACAAAAAACATATATACAAACCTACTTACAGCAAGCAATGTTTTTCAAACTTTTGATGATTGAGAAGTAAAAATTATGAAATGTGTTTTACATTGTGACTCAACAAAATGTCTTGAAACCGTATTTGCTACATGTAATGTTCTCATATTTTCCACTCAGTTCCACTGGTCAAAAGATACCAAACTTTTATTTATTTGAAAAATATGTTTTAAAAAAAATTATTATTTTTTTCATTTCAGAGAGAGAGGAAGGGAGAGGGAGAGAGAGATAGAAACATCAATGATGAGAGAGAATCATTGTTCAGCTGCCTCCTGCATGCTCCCTACTGGGGAGCAAGTCTATAACTGAGGCATATGCCCTGATCTGGAATCAAACCATGACCTCCTGGTTCATGGGTCAGTGCTCAACCACGAGCCACACCGGCCTGGCAAAAGATACTGCACTTTTAGAGCAACACGCCGGAGCAAGGGGAAATGTGGTATAAGTTCCAAGTGTTGAACAGTGGACCCACTTTTCCTATAGTTCAAGTTCTACCTTCTTAGGAAAACTTTCTCCAGCAATCCCAGGGCACGTCAGTTTCCCTTCTCTGAATCCTTTTTACACACAGGACTGGCATCTTACTGACTTACACTGCACTTCCTCAGTTGTCAAACTTTCAACAATTTGACCGATTTGTTACCGAGGTGAAAATTTAGAAGTAAATGTAAAGGACTCAGTGGCAGTGAAAATGCCATCACAAAGCTTATGTACTTGACTTTGTGGGAGAGATAGGAAGTATTTACTATTTAAAATGATGTCCAAAAGAATGTTTTCAGTTTATATCCGTGGCTCCCTGGTCTTCCAGCTGACAGCTCTACAGTACTGTGGTGTAATCATATAGCAATTGATGTTCATGACGATACTGTGTTGTTCAATACCATTTTTTTAAAATTTAAATTCTTTTTTTTGTTTGTTTTGTTAAAGAATTATGAATTTATTAGGTCATCTGGAAAACTAGATGGCGCCAGCCAATTCGTTATTGTTGAAAGTATTACATAATTCTCCTTTCCCCCCATTGTCCTCTCCCACCCCCAGCACAGGCCCTCACCCCCCTACTGTCTGTGTCTATTGATTATGCGTATATGCATGCATACAAGTCCTTTGGTTGATCTCTTACCACCACTCCTTCCAGCCTCCCCTGGTGAATACCATTTTTAATATACACCTTGAAGAAAGCAGAGAAATGTATAATAGATTTAGATTCTTCCTTTAAAATTAAATAAAAATAAAATTATAAATAAAAAAATAAAGTAGTGCCTTAAGAAGTAAGTTGCAGTTATCTGGAAAACTATTTCTGTGGAAAAATTGATGCAGAATAAATGAAATATTACTTATATTTTGTTCTGTAGTATATGGGATAGATATCTTGTTTTACTAAGCAGACTATGAGTAGGGCATAACCACATTTTAAATATTGTTTTTCACCAAGTACCTGGAACACAGTAGCTGCTGAATATATGTTTATTGAATAAAGAGTGGAGATAAAGTAATGGATGATCAGGGTGAGGTCAAGTTAATCTGGGAGTGACTCTGGAACCTGATTAAAAGATGGTGCTAGTTGTGGATTAATAGAGGGAAAAGGGCATCTGAGAGGTTTGCAAACATGCTTAATTTTTATCAGATTCTAGAGTTCCTGTGCCTACCTCAGCATATTGCTAGACTAGTATTGTCCAAAATTTAATTATTAACCAACTTTATCTTAATTTCTATTAAATAGTTTGCCTTTATTATTTGATAAATAGCCTTTTGAATTGGACATGTCAAAGGAAAACATATTGTTTTCTTTTTCTCCTTAATTGTTTAAAAGAATGTAATGATATTCTCCTTTGTTTTTATAAGAGATATATAATTAAGTTACTTGGTTAAACCATAAAATTCTGAATCCTTTATTATTTCTTTGAGACGTATGTGGCCTTAAAGCTTACAAACTGGGAACATGCTTCATTTGATCTTTCTGCAATGAGAATATGACTTCTTGCTATCTTGCATAACACCGAGAACAGTGCAGTACAGGGCGAAGGTTGGTCTGCAGCCCTGAGGCCAGCAAAAATGAGACACAACTGCTCTTCTGTGCAGATGTTCCTGACATAACCTTGGGGAGGAAATATGAAATACAGCCTTTTCCTTTGTGCCCGGGAAAACTCCATAAAATAATGGATTTTCATAGTTAAAACATTTATTGAGACTAAGTTGTTTTTGTGTTAGTTTTAACACTGTCGGTTTCACTGAGGCCCGTCCTGTGTGAGTGTGGAGAGCACACAGCTTTTACCCAGTGCTGCAGGATTCACGGGAAATCCATGGGAAGAGAAGGAGGAACAAAATCACCGATGACCTTAGCGGTCATTTTCCACATACTTGAGGCATTTATATTACCCATTCAGATTAAGTTAAAATATGTTTAGTGCCACATTCTTGGTTTACTAAGTTTTTCACCTGTCTGTCTTTAGTTACATTTTATTTGTAGAAAATACACTGATTCACTAAAACCAACTTGCTTGCTAAGGTTTTATTCTACCAAAGCACGTGATAAAAATAATGAAAGCTGCTTTCCATTTTTTTTCGTCTTCACACAGTTCCATCGAACCTCTGTACCTTACCTATGGAATCATATTTGCCAGTGGCTGCTCCTTTGCGTACCAGCCTTCCTTGGTCATTTTGGGACACTATTTCAAGAAGCGCCTCGGACTGGTGAATGGCATTGTCACCGCTGGCAGCAGTCTCTTCACAATTTTGCTGCCTCTCCTTTTAAGGGTTCTGACCGAAAATTTGGACCTCTTTTACACGCTGAGGATCCTCTGCATCTTCATGTTTGTTCTCTTTCTGGCTGGCTTTACTTACCGACCTCTTGTGCCCAGTGTCAGAGCTAAAGAGAGTGGAGTCAAAGGAGGCAACAGATCCTCCCTCTTTTCCAGGAGAAAGTTCAGTCCTCCCAAAAAAATTTTCAATTTTGCCATCTTCAAGGTGACAGCGTACGCAGTGTGGGCAGTTGGAATCCCGCTTGCACTTTTTGGATACTTTGTGCCTTATGTTCACTTGGTGAGTATGCTTCCTTGGCTTTGCTGGTAACAGATATTATTTCACACAGGAAAACCTAGAAGAGCAAAATAGATCAGGTTGAAGTTGGCCTTAAAATCTCTGGTGATCACAATTCAGGTCTTTTAAGACAACAGAGCTATCAGATCATTAAAGAGGGGAAATGTTTAATGGTGTGCTTTGATACTTTAAACATCACTAAACCTAAACAAATAAGAACAACTTCAAAACTTGATGGGTCACTGTTGCTTCAAGTGGCTTGCAGATCATAATCAGGGGCAAAGATGGTGCAGTGGTTTTTGCCAACATCAATAAATTCTTTTTGAAACAGGGTGCGGAAATTAGGTAAATAGGAAAAGCCAGTGGCCTTGACACAAAGAAGCCTGACATTCACTTGTGGGATACTTCTGGGATTGATTACTTAAGAAATGTTAGCAAGTTCCCAATGAGAGGAGAGGGAAGGGTTTCATAGGAAATTAGGATTTCAAGTGCTCCAGCAATTTATATTGCTTATCTCTATTTGTACTGAACCAAGAATAAGCAGTGTCTAAAATATTTGCACCTGGCAGATTTTGCTCTAAGATGCTTATTATGTGTTTTTCCATTTTTCTTACTGTTGTGGCTGAAAGTGTATTTACAGGTCATCATACTTGATAAACAAAAATGATACTAAGATAAATTTTTCTTTTGTATGCATACTATGTGTGTGAACCGGAATCCTATCCAGCTTTTAGTCTACTTTTGGACATTTGTGCGATTTTTCTTTAAAGTTTTAGTGAAAGTTTGTAACATAGGTCAAAAAATTACTGGGCACAAGGGGTCAGCTGGTAAATTATATTCAACACTGTGGGTTCCTATGCCCAGTTCATAGGAATTAGGTTAAGGAAACATGAAGAGAGATGGCAGGAACGTCCTGGATCCAAGTATACTTTTATTTCTCATTTCCACTTATTCTTTTTTTGCCAGAGGTGTTGGGGAAGCATCTGGGATGACCACAGGGGAGACAAGAAGAACTAGTTTTTAGTACTGTGAGCCACTTGGCATTTTTTAGTGACTGAGGTACTGGGTAAAATGAGCTAGTATGTGGCTACATCTTGATCTAATGATCCATTGCACACTTTTTAGGAAGGCATATCCGAACCATTGGAAACTATATTTTTGTTGTTGGACTACAGATCCATTGCGGAAGGATCAGCTTTACCAACTCCCTCTCCCATGGCTTCTCTTATTAAGATAACATTTGTTATGTTCTTTTCAAAGATGAGTAGAGTTTTTTAAATAATTCTCTTTGGGACTGTAAGGTGAACACACCCAGAGAAATCAGTCTCCCAGCTTTGCTATACCAAACATTTATCAAAGCACAAGTAGCAGGTGATTGTCCAGATTTCTGGTAATATTTTTATAATTTGTAAATTAATTTAACATATACTATTTCATTTGATCACAAGAAATCTGCGGCAGAATAAGTAATATTAGCCTATGTTTTGCAATTGGAAAACAGACCCATTGTTAACAAAGATGTTGCCGTTCTCTCTCTCCCTGGAGCACCCCTGCATCTTTCCCGTTCCCCTCTTCTTCTCCCACAGGCACAGATCTCCTAACCTCTAAGGGACCCCAGGAGACTTGCAACGAGGGGAGCAGTGGGCAGCGACAGCTCCTCCCAGACTTACCCCCTGAACCTGTCTCCAAGGCCCCCTTTCTTTCCGACTTCTCAGTGAGCCAAAGCAGCTCACCTACCCTTTCTCCTGTTGCTTCTTCTATCCTAAGTCCTTCCTTGTTTCATTATCCCCAGCTTTAATAAACATACCCTCAAAATAGAATAAAAAAGAAAAGAAATGATGTTAAGTGACTTCCTAAGAATCATATAACAGCAAAGCACGGTTTGGTTCCCTTCCACTGTGCTTACCTGGTGGCAAATCTAGAATAGCCTTATTTTGGAGCACAGTGGGCCACTTCCCTGGATATACCACCAGATATGCCCATCTTATTTTTTGTTGTTGTTGTTAATCCTCACCCAAGGATATTTTTCCTAATGATTTTTAGAGAGAGTGGAAGGGAAGGAGGGGGGAGAGAGGGAAAGAGAGAGACATTGATGTGAGAGAGACACATTGATTATCTCCTGCACGCACCCTGACTGGGGTGGGATTGAACCTGCAACCCAGGTATGTGCCCTTGACCAGGAATCGAACCCAAGACCCTTCAGTGCACAGGCCAACTCTCTATCCACTGAGAAACATGGGCCAGGGCAGATATGCTCATCTTACTGGGGGAAATGAGTATGCCTAATAAAACTTAATAAATATGTTATGGTCACTTCCTTAAACAAATTTCTTAGTAGTGAGTGATGAGTGAGACGGTGTTACAGACACTGTGTTCACCAGGAGGCAATAAATCAGGTAGTACAGGAGCAGTGAGGTTTTTTCCGACTCTGATAACAAGCCAGGCCTCTTTCCTGCTTTTCCTCCTTTAGGCATGTTTTCTTAGAAAGGTGTTGATATTTGGGATTTTCTCTGTCGAACTGTTATGGCACTGAAAGCCACGTTGAAGAGCAAACACCAGACAGTTAAATGCCATGTAGGTGTTTGAAACTCGTGTTTGATGGGTGCACTGAGTTGTCGACCTGTTATAATTTAAGATTTGAATTAAGGACAGTTAATCCAGACTTCCTGGAATGGGACACCTCTTTCCTCCTCAGAGTGGGAAAAGGTATCTCAAATCTTTCCAAAGACCAGTAGATGTTGTTCAATTCGTATTAAACACTTTTTGGGTGTTGAAGGGCATAGATATGTAAGGCATAAGAACCTGTCCTGAAGGAACATAAAATCTAGTAATGTAATAAAAACCATTATAGCTTATAAAGGACGTTTACATACATTATCTTATTTAATCTTCAAAAACAATGCACTCGCTCTGATGTATCATCCTTATTTCATGGATGAGAAGACTGGGGCACTGAGAGATTTGAACACTTGCCTGGGGGTCCACAGAGAGAGGGACCGATAATTGGTGTAGTACTTAGATGCAGTATTGTGGGGTGGGTAAAGGTAAAGGCTCTGAAGTGAGACAGATCTGAGTTTGAATCAATTCAGAGCCGAGTTTGAATCCTGGTTTTGTTCTTTGTTAGTTGGACAACCTTGGGTGACCTCTCTAAGCATTAGTCTCTTCACCTATAAAATAGGGAGAAACCCAACTTTGCAAAGTTGTTGTAAGGATTAGAGAAAACATATGCAAAGCTCCTATCCAGTTCTGGTATAAATATGAGTTATTTTAAGACAATGTGGTTGCCGATTGAGTAGTTTCAGGGGCTATAGAATCAAAGGAGAAAGTGGTATCCATTTGGAACAGTGGTTAGTTAAAAACTTCACAGGATTGGAATTGGGTTAAAACCAGATCCTTAATCAACTAGGGAACTAATTTACCTATCTAGGTCTTTTTAAAGATTCAGAATGAAGTGCTCTTGTGGTTATGTTAATCGTAAGATCTTGTTTATTAGTCTTTTCATGATGATTTGAGAGGGGACTATGTATGCTTTATGGCATTCTTGCTCTCAAAGCAAAGTTGGAGGTCTTATCTTTCAGTGTCACTTTTAAAAATAAAGCGTCATATTGCTCCCTGGAAGCTTCAAATGATCTCTTAGGCCTACCCACTTACAGTCTCCATCGGGAGGGTACAGATCTTACAGATCAGTTCAGATGAGACCTGGCTTTCTAAATAACCATTTCTAATAGCAGCTGCTTCAGTTTTTATGATGTGCCCCTTCTGCCTAAGAGTTTGTTTAGTTTTCTGGGTTACGTTGCTATGGCTCCTCCTCCAGTTTTTCATTAGCTTCCAGAAGCTCAACATTTTCTTAGTTTTCCTCCTACCTCTCCATTGGAAATGCGATGATACATCATTCCTTCTTTGTTTCTTGGCTGGCTCCTTTTCACCCTGATCCCTGAATATCAGCTTGCCCCTCAATTTTTCTGGATTGGCTCAGTGGTTGAGTGTCGACCCAAGAATCAAGAGGTTACCAGTTCGATTCCCAGTCAAGGCACATGCCTGGGTTGCGGGTTCGATCCCTGGTAGGGGGTGTGCAGGAGGCAGCCAATCTGTTTCTCTCTCATCGATGTTTCTCTTATCTCTCTCCCTTTCTCTCTAAAATCGATTAAAAACATATTTTAAAAAATATTTTTTATTGATTTTTAGAGAGAGAGGAAGGGAGAGGGGGAAAGAGAAACATCATTGTGAGAGTGGAACATCAATCGGCTGCCTCCTGCACTGGGAATCGAACTGGTAACCGTTTGGTGCACGGGATGACGCTCAACCAACTGAGCCACACTGGCCAGGACACCCTAGATCTTTTTATTCTACTGGTGGTTTCATATAAGTAATTTATCTTCTCACCATTTTAATCTTTAAAATTCTCTGCTTTGATGCCACAATTACTATTCACATTTTGTACTTAGAAGACATTCTGGTATTCATAGTCGTTAAACACTTAACAAATAAGCACAAACTCAGCAAACCTCAGAATAATTAAATAATACCAATGCCATCTGTTGATGGAGGAAAGAGTTGATGTGTTTTGCGTTGAACTACAGCTTTATATGCATATGTTGAAGTTATCTATACTAATAAAAGGGTAATATGCTAATTAGACCAGACATCTTCTGGACGTCCTTCCAGACAAAGCCATGGTGGCAGGGGCTGAGGCAGAGGCGGTTAGGGGTGATCAGGCCAGCAGAGGAGAGCAGTTAGGGGCGATCAGGCTGGCAGGGGAAGGCAGTTAGGGGTGATCAGGCAGGCAGGCAGGTGAACGGTTAGGAGCCAGCGCTCCCAGATTGCGAGAGGGATGTCCTGACTACCGGTTTAGGCCTGATCCCACAGGGGATATCCCCCAAGGGGTCCCGGATTGGAGAGGGTGCAGGCGGGCTGAGGGACTCCTCCCCTCCCGTGCATGAATTTTGTGCCCTGGGCCTCTAGTAACCTAATAAACAGAAGAAAGTTTTGTGTCTCTGTAGTAA